GGGGGCTGGCTGTGAGGTTGCCTGTAGGGGGCAGAGTGGGCTGGCCACCCGGCGGCCCATGGGGAGAGCAGGGTGGGCTCACGGTAAGGCAGCCCATAGGGGGCAGAGTGGGCCGGCTGTGTGGTGGCCCATGGCATGGGGAGTGGGGCTGGCTGTGAGGTGGGGCGGGGGGGCTGGCTGTGAGGCAGACCATGGGGAGGCTGGGGAGGGCCAGTCATAAGGTGGCTCTTGGGGGGGAGGCGGGGGGGTGTGGCTCTGAGGCAGCCTGTGGGGGGTAGGGGGACTGGTTGTGAGGTCGCCTGTAGGGGGCAGAGGGGGCCGTCCATCCGGCGGCCCATGAGGAGAGGAGGGTGGGCTGACTGTGCTGGCTGTGAGGTGGCCCATGGGGTGGGCAGTGGGTCTGGCTGTGAGGCAGCCTGTGGGGGGTAGGGGGACCAGCTGCGAGGCAGCCCGTGGTGGGCAGTGGGGCTGGCTGTGAGGTGGCCCATGCGGGTTAGGGGGGCTAGCTGGGAGTATGGTTCTGGGTGCTGATACTTCTCTTGCTTTGCAGGGGAACTCTACCAGTGGAGCCCGGCCTGGGTGCAGCAAGGAGTCTGACGTGGGAGCACCGGCCCTGGAGATGGCAGTGAACTCGATTTACTACTCGCGGGAAGAAGGTAGGGCCTGTCCTGCCCTTGGCTCCTCTCCGGTGGCGCTGGCTGCTCCCCTGGTCGTCCTGGGTTTGTTTCCAGCATGGTCCTGCTGAGGGAGCTTGCAGCCTTCACTGCCTGGCATGAAGCTGCCCTGGCCTCTGGGATAGTCTCGTCCTTCAGGCAGGCGCCGTGACCTGTCCCACTGGGCTGCGTCTGGAGCTGGGACGCCTCCCTCCTCCCCGCAGTGCTTCACCCTGAGCTGCACTCCTCGTAGCAGGGCCCGTGTCCCTGGCCTCTCCCCATCTCTGTCCCGGGGGCTGGGTGTCGCTGCCCCCCCGCTCTGTCCTGGGGGCCGGGTGTCGCCGGCCTCCCCCCTTGGGGGCGGTGCATATTCTGGTTTCCCCACTCTCCCCTTGGTGCAGGGGAAAGTGGGGCATGGCTTGGATTCCTTGTCTTCGCCCCGTGCTGTCCGTGGTCCTGGGGGTGTCCCTGGTTTCCCTGTCCTGTCCTTGGGAGTTGGGGGTGGCTGAGGGTGCTTGCTTTCCTGCCCTGCCCCGTCCCTGTGAGTGACTGGCTTTCTTGGCAGTGAACGCTTTCTGGGTGACAGTGCAGAGGACGGAGGCAGCGGAGCGGTGTGCGCTGCATGGGGCCTACATGCTCAAAGCCGAGCAGGACAGCTTGATCCTCAAGGAGCCCCGGACACAAGAAACTCTCTACACCTGGCCTTACAGGCTGCTCAGGAGATATGGCCGAGACAAGGTGGGTGGGGCAGGATCTGGGGTGAGCGCCCGGGCTCTGGCTGGCTTAATACCATCCCCTTAGCAAAAGGGTGTTCTGCTCCGCAGCCCACAAGCCGTCTGGCGCTAAAGGGTTGGCATGCTGAAGTGCCAAGGCCTGACCTGGTGTGGCACTCCATGTGCAGCCTGGCAGGAAGGCACAGGGGCCAGCAGCCGCCAAGGTGCCTGGTTAACATTTGCTGAGGGTTGGCCGTGCTGGGGGGGTTACTGCCTCCTGGGGCCCATGCTGTGATTGTCGCTGCCCCTCACCCTTCTCCCACTTGGCCGTGGTGACTGTGGTGCGTCTGGTCCATCGTGCTGCTGTCCCCATGCTTCACGCAGCTCCTGGTTCTGTGTCCTCGGCCCTGCTCGCTCAGAGCGGGTGGGGAGGAAGTGGTTGCCTGAGAGAAGCTGCTTATAGAACTTATGATGTAGCCTGTAGCTGAAGTGTGCTGCTGCTGTTTCCACCGGATCAACCAGAAGAGATCTGGAGACTTGAGTGTGTCTGCTGAGTGCAGACACTGTGCGGAAGCGTCTGAGCAGCTTCTCCTCCAAGCCTGGGAGATGCTGGGCATGAGCCAGAGGGCCAGGCTGGGGGACAGAAATGGCATAGCATGAGTGTGGTCAGGGGGAAATAGGCTCATTCAGCAGATGCCCCCTGTCTTGCCTCTGCCCAGGCCCCCCTGCAGGGGATCAGCTCTTGGTGTGGTACTGAAATGGTGCCGCTCCCATGGCATGCTGGCTTGCTAGGGGAAGCACCAAGCTGGCCCAGACCATAGTGTTACCGCAGAGAGGGAGCGGGGGTTGGGGGGGGTCTGTGATGGGTTCCCCACAGGGTGCCACCTGGAACTGGGGTACCACTGAGCCCCCCTGACCCACCAGCCTGGGCTCCCTTTACACTATACTGCTGTGACCAGCCTGCTAAGCCTTCTCCCAGGCTTCAGCACACATACAGATAGGGGCACACCCAGCTGCAGTACATACAGACGCTGTAATCAGCTCTGTCTGGGGAGGCTTCAGATAAGGAACTGCCCAGCTGCTCAAATGCACTTCTCCCTCTGGAGTGTAAACCCAAAATTATACTGTCTTGCGCTGCACAGAGATCTGTACAGCGTAAGCTCATGAAATCTACCCCCTTCCTCAATGTGGAGAAGGATATGCAACAGGCTTCTGCCCCAGGTTATGACTCCCACACACTGATTTTAGAAGACAAAGCAAAAATAAGTTTATTAACTAGAAAAGGTAGATTTTAAGTGATTATAAGGGATAGCAAACAGATCAAAGCAGATTACCTAGCAAACAAAACACACAAACTAAGCTTAATATACTAAAGAGATTGCATATGAGTAGCAAATTCTCACCCTAAATGATGATTCAAGCAGGCTACAGAGATTCTTAAGGGGCCAGTTGCACTTGCTTACAGATTAAAAACCCCAGGTAATCCTCTCGCAGGCTAGAAACCCCTCCAGCCTGGGTCCAGCACTTCTCCCCCCCCCCAGTTCAGTCTTTGTTCCTCAGGTGTTTCTAAGAGTCTCTTTGGGGAGGGGAGTCAGTGAAGAATCCTGATGATGTCACTCCCCTGCCTTAAATAGCTTTTGCATATGGCGGGAACCCTTTGTCTCAAAGCTGGGTTCCCACGCCAGTCAGTGGAAATACACTGGTATTCCAAGATGGAGTCCTGCACCAGGTGACCTGGTCACATGTCCCTGTAGTGCCACAGCAGCCATTGCTCGGAGGCCATTTGTAGCGGCCTCAGGAAGACACTACTCTCTTCTCCCCCCCACACCCCCAGGAAATAAACTCCTTCTAAGGCCTATTGTTCTCCCAAATTGTTCATTAACTTGAATGGGCCTTTCCCAGCCAACCACCTAGATTGACAGTCTTGCCTAGTGGGTGTTCCTCATATGTAAACGCATTTGTAATAGATACATAGACAATATTCTAATTTCAGATACAAAAATGATACACCCATACAAATAGGACAATCATATTCAGTAAATCATAACCTTTTCAATATCTCACATGACCTATCTTGCATAAAATACATCAGAATTATGCTATAATCATATCATAATATCACTATGAAGAATATGGAGTGCAGTGTCACAAGGTCCACTCAGGAGACCTCATGGCTAAGGCCCAGTGTGAACCACGATTTCACAGACTGCAGGGAAGTTGTGAGATTAGCCAGTTTGGGAATTTTGCCAACAGCAGGGAGACGGAGCAGGGATTCCCACTTCTGCCTCTGCACTGTTGGAAAATTCATGGTATTGGGCTAATTTAGCTGCCCGGGGGGTTCGCTTCCTCACTGGCTGTTAGAAGACGGGGGCAGGGTTGACAATGCATAGCAGTTACGAGCCCCGGCCTGCCCCATAGAGCCCCCTGGCAGACCCAGTGGAGACACTGCAGTGCTTGCTGGCAAGGGTAAATCTGCTGCTTGGAGTACAAGCAGGTATGAGGGGGCCCTGCCCCAGTGAGAGGATTGGGGCGGGAGGCATAGATCCCATTCTCACTCCAATACCCTGCTGGTGCAGGGCTGTCTGGTCTCAACCCCCCACCAGTCGGCACTGCGGTGTCTCCCCTGGGTGTGACGAGGGCTGTTGTGGGTTGAGCTGGCTAATTGTTGTACGTTGTCAGCACATTGGACAGACAGGAAGTAGCAGCAGCCTGGGCCAGAGCTCAGTGTGGAGCCAACCAGACCCTGCCCCCGGCTAGGCTGGGCAGCTGGCTCCATGTAGACAGACAGACACACACCCTTCTGCCCCCCCCTTACTTCCCGGGGTAGGACCAGCCTGCCATCTCACCCCTTTCTGGGATGGGACCAGCTCACTAACCCCCCCACGAGCAACCATGGCCTCAACAGGGAGATGGAAGCTGGGATACATTCTTCTCCCTCCTTGCTGCTGGAAGAATTGCAGCAGTTAGGGGCAGTGGGTGGCCATGCGTCTCCCATGAAATTCAAAAACCTGGGATGCTACCATAAATTCGGGGGGGAGGGAAGAGAGAGAAAGCGATTTACATAGGGCCTGATTCATGGTGCCTGCATGCTGTGGTGTGTCTCTTAGAGGCTCCAGGGAAGGGGTGAGTTGGAAGATGGGTTTGAGGCGGGGGTGGCTTGGCAGCTGGGGGTGGAGAGTGGAACTGGTGTGTAGGGGGAAGCCAGGAATTATGCCCACAGGCTGTTGTGAGGGGAGGAGATGCCAGGAGTCTTGCTGCAGTTGTTCCTGCACCCAGGTCTCCTAAACTGACATCAGCTCCAGCTCCATCTGATTCTTATCTGTGGCTGCATCCCATCAGCAACAGAATCAACTCCAGGGCTGCCCCCTCTCTGTGCCCAGATCCTGCTACCCAACACCTGTGGTGCTGCTACTCACGGGAATCAAGCACAGAGCATGCTCTGTGCTGCATCTCCAGCCCCGCTGACTTGCCCATGCTGCCAGCCTTATGGGCAGGGGCCTTGCTCTCTTCTGGTATGATGGCCGAGCCCCAGGGAGAGCAAATGCCAGTTCACCTGCCCCTAGAGCCTGGGCTGAGGTTCAGGAATGGGGTGTGAGTCCAGGGCGAGGATGCCAGAGCTGTTCTTGTGTACGCCAGAGATCTGCCCTGCTCTGTCCCTTCGCCCAAGTGCTGCAGCCTGGGCTACAGCATGCATGGGCTCAGGGCTGCTGGGAGGCTCTTTGGGGCTGGTTGGGACACTGACCCTCTACCTCTCCCCGGCAGGTGATGTTCTCCTTTGAAGCTGGCAGGCGCTGCGAGTCTGGGCCTGGGAACTTCACATTTGAGACCAAGCAGGGGAATGAGATCTTCCGGCTAGTGGAGGCCTCCATTCGGGAGCAGAAAGCCCAGGTAGAGGAGAACAGACAGAGCTGCGACTCCCTGGACTTGGACTGCCCCAGTGTGGTGCTGATCCGCAATGCCCTGGCTGACTCGCTGAGCCTTGAGCTGCCTGCCGAGGGGGATGGCACAACGGTGCCCAAAGCTGGGCTGACAGCAAAGCTCAGTGCTGCTCCGGAGGAGAGGGACGCCATAGCCCTGCTGAAGGCTCGCACTCTCCCAGAGCCCCCGGTGCCACCCAAGCCTGCTCACCCCAGCACGCCCCCACGCTCCCCGCTGCCCAAGGTACCCAGGGCCCTGCTCCCTTCTGAGGACCCAGCCAGCTTGTACTCAGAGCCCATGGACGCAGTGAAGGGCATCCGAGCCAGGCTGGACCCGCTGTACTCAGACCCCATCGACAGCAAGCCTGGAGGTGGGGCCATGGGTCATGGCCCTGCCCAGGAGGAGGCAAAGCTCAGGAAACCTGGCTCTCTGTACTCAGGCCTGTACGACAGGGTCCAGCCAGCGGGGAACAGCCAAGCTGAGAGGCTGCCGAGATGCAGGGAGCACATCTATGATGAGCCCGAGGGGCGGGCCCCCCACCCAGTGCCTGCCAACACCTCCATCTACGATGAGGTGCGGCCAACAGGCGAGGCCTGGCGCACGCAGGGCATCGAAGACGAGGGCGGGTATGAGTATCCCTACAATCCCAGAACTGATGACTACTCAGTGCCTGCCTTCCAGCACAAAGCCGGGCCCAAAGGTCCCAAGCCCATCCCTGCCCCCAAGCCCCAGTCCGTGTTCATTCCCAAAGGCGCTGAGAGGAGCCCAGAGCCCAGCAAATGGCGTGTGAACCTGGCTCCCGACAAACCAGGTGTCAGATCTGGCTTCAACAACAACAACAACAACAATGAGGTGCTGTACAGCCAGGTGCTGAAGCCCCTGCGAGCGCCAGGGCAAGAGCTGTCTGTGGATGAGAATGCTCTAATGCCCATCTACGAAGACCTGGGAGAGATATAACCTCCTGTGCCGCAGCCCCTACTGTGCACCTTCCTCTGGGAGGGGCCATGGGGCCCAGAATCCGGCAGGAGCCATGCAGCGTGCTGTCCTCTCTGGGTCCCTGCAGGGTGGGCCCGGGGACTGTGCTGGACTGCCTGTCGCCCTCTGCCCTGTGAGTGAGCTGGTGACTGCTTCTCCTCCTGTGCCAAGCAGGAGGTTGGGTGATTCCCAGGAGACTTTCCCTGGAGGACACTATGGTTGGTGATGGGGAGAGATGTTTGACTGTAGTACCTATGTGCTGGGATTGGCTGCTTTATCACGTAACACTTTGGCAGGGGAGGACAGGGCTGTCATCTCTAGTGCACCCATCACCGTGATATCTGGGCATGATGACTCTGGGATCATGCGATTCCTGGGCACGTGGCTCTCCATTGGGGCCTTTTGCTGCTGAAATGCTCCTCAGCTCCCTTCAGACTGTCTTTGTGGCCCACAGTGATAGCAGGCTGTGCACCCTGGCACCCCATCCCAAAAATATTTTTCTAAAAATTTTATTTTGATATTAAAATCTTAAATTTTAAAACTGAAGAATCTGTATGTGTGGCATGTTTGAGGCGGGGTGCTGTGTCACACGCCTGTTCTTGGGGGGGGAGAGATGCTGTGTCAGGCTTCCAGAGGCGCTGTGCCCCTGGGCCAAGGAAAGAGGCCAGATTTGCGCTGGGACATTGTGAGTGGCACATACATGCTCATTTGCATGTGCAAGTCCATGCAGTCTTATTAAACAAAAGCTGCACTGGAGATGAGAAAATATTGGCTCCATCTTCACAAAAGGTATTGGGGGATCCTGGGAGTTGAGCTGTTGGACTTCCAGCAGGGGAAAGCGGTTCAAATGATAATGAAATAGAATTATAAAATTGTAATTTAGACTTTCAAAAGGCCCTTGGCAAAGCCTCTCACAGGAGCCTGGTAAGGAACCAGTCGCTGTGGGGTGAGGGCGAAGCGCTGCCCTGGAGCAGAAGGCTCAGAACAGAGCAGGGATTGATGGTCTGTTTCCATCAGAGCAGAGGGGTCACAGCAGGGCCCCAGGGGGCCGACTGGGGTTTCAGATATTTATTAACAAGCTGGAAAAGGGACGTGTGAATCTCCAGATGGCACAAAGGTATTGAGGGGAGCCGCGCCCAGAGGAGCCCGTGAGGAATTTGAGGGACTGATGGAGGGGAAAAGGCAGCATGCTGGCAGGCACAGCTGGGATTCAGGGTTGACTAATATGAAGTAACACACATTGGAGGGTTTAATCTGAACTCGTCATGTGCCTTCTCAGGGCCTAACTTAACATTATCTGCTCAGCAAACGGACCCAGCATCGCTGGGCAGCTGAGTGTGACCTTGACACAATGTGCAGCTGATGCCAAGAAAGCTGATTGGCCACATAAGGGATGGGGTGGAGAATAGGATGAGTTGGGTCCTGCTCTGTGCTCCTATGGACCATGTGCTTTGTTGGAGCTGTGCAGCAGCTGGGCACAGTTTGGGCTGATGAGAAAGGAGTGGGGGAAGCCACTGGACTCTGCTGAGTGGAGGAGACAGCTGGCCCTTTTCCCTGTGCTCTTGGTTACAGCAGGGACCTGCGGTACTTTGGCCAGGTCCCATCTTCGTTATGAGAGAATGATGCAAAGCTTGGGGGAGTGGTAAATAAGGGAGTGGACGGGTCACTGGGACAGCAAGCTGGCTTGCTTGGTAAGCTGGGCACAAGCAAACACTGTATTTTAATATGGCTAAATGTAAATGTGTACATCTAGGAACAAAGAATGCAGGCCATACGTACAGGATGTGGGACTCTATCCTGGGAACCAGTGACTCCGAAAAAGATTTGGGGTCATGGTGGATAATCAGCTGACCATAACCTCCCAGTGCGGCACTGTGGCCAGAAGAGCTAATGTGAGCTTGGAATGCATAAACGGGAGCAGAGAGGTTATTTTACCTCTGTATTTGGCACTGATGGGACCGCTGCTGTGATATTGTGTCCAGTTCTGATGTCCACAGTTCAAGGAAGCTGTTGATAAGTTGGAGAGGGTTCAGAGAAGAGCCATGAGAATGATTAAAGGAGTGGAACACCTTTCTCATAGTGAAAAACACAAGGAATTCAATCTATTTAGCTAACAAAGAGAAGGTTAAGGGGTGACTTGATCACAGTCTATAAGTATCTACACAGGGAATAAATATTTAATAATGGACTCTTCTATCTAGCAGAGAAATGTATAATGCAATCCAATGGCTGGAAGTTGAAGTTAGACAAATTCAACCTGGCAATGAGGTGTAATTTTACAGTGAGGGTATTTAACCATGGAAACAATTTACCAAGGGTGGAGGTGGATTCTCAATCACTAACCATTTTTACATTGAGACTGGCTGTTTTTCTAAAAGTTCTGCTCTAGGCATTATTTTGGGTCAGGTCTCTGGCCTGTTATACAGGAGGTCAGACTAGATCAGGGGTTCTCAAACTGGGGGTCGTGAGCTGTCAACCTCCACCCCAAGCCCCACTTTGCCTCCAGCATTTATAATGGTGTTAAATATATAAAAAAGTGTTTTTAATTTATAAGGGGGGCCACACTCAGAGGCTTGCTATGTGAAAGGGGTCACCAGGACAAAAGTTTGAGAGCCACTGGACTAGATGATTGTAATGGCCCCTTCTGACCTTGGAGTCTATGACTCTATAACAGTGGCAGGAGTGTTGCTCTGCAGATTTTTCCATGAGGTCTCAGTGCTCGTTTAGAGGCGGCATTGGTTTCCCTTTGTATGGTTGTAAGAGCTGCTTCTGTCTTTGCACTCAGGAGATCTCTGCTAAACTCCGAGCCTGGGAGAAAGGTCCTGGGTTGCATTTATGTAGTCTGGTTTCCTGTCTTCTATTTAAAGCTACTTCAGCCCTAGTTAAAATTAAAATATGGTAGGAAGTGGCTTCTGCCTCCTCCCCCTTCAACTAATTTCTGCTCAGTCTGTGGGAGAAATAACTTTTTTGGCATCTTTGGAACAGTTTATCAGCCTGTTTGAAATTTGCAGCTCACTGGTGCAGTTGTTCATGGGGCCAGCAGCCATGATTCTCTCTGAACATGTGGTCTGGGTGCTTTGCAGAGAGAAAGGAGACGCTGTCCCTGCACCAAGGAACTTAGGGTCATGCTGAACGTAGCCAGCTGCTTTACTTGAGGAACATGCCTTGGAGTGTAAGGGGAGGAGGGGCTAACACCAGGTTTTACAGAGTGAGATTTGTTTTTATTTCTGCAGCAGAAATGACCCGGAGTTGGCAGCTCCTCCACCCACTTTCCTCGTGTCACAGCATCATATGAGTAGCCAGGTGACGGATGCTTTCTCAGAAGCCTCAACTGTGGGCAGCCTGGATGCACTCAGACTTTGTCCTAGCACATCAGACTTTCTAATGCTTCCTTATCTGTGTTACGGTAGCACCCAGCCTCCACAACTGGCTACAGTTGTCTCCCCAGGGGCCCATGACCTTTGCAGTAGCACTGCACCTGCTTCCCCTTGTGCTTAGGGCTATAGCTGGGTCTAGCGAAGCGAGTCAGAGCTAGACTGAGCTGCTGCTGATAGCATCAGGGTTGCTAACTTTCTACTTGCACAAAAGTGAACACCCTTGCCCCGCCCCTCATCCGAGGCCCTGCCCCTTCTCTGAGGCCCCGCCCTCGCTCACTCCACCCCCCCCCCCGTCGTTCGCTCTCCCCACCCTCACTCACTCATTTTCACTGGCTGGCTCAGGGGGTTGGGGTGCAGGAGGGGTTGAAGGCTCCGGCTGGGAATGTGGGCTCTGAGGTGGGGCCAGGAATGAGGGGTTTGGGGTGTAGGAGGGGGCTCTGGGCTGGGGGTGGAGCTGAGGGGTTTAGAGTATGGGAGGGGGCTCCGGGTGGAGGAAGGGGGTTGGGGTGGGGGGGGATAAGGGCTCTGGCTGGGGGTGCAGGCTCTGAGATGAGGGATTTGGGGTACAGGAGGGTGCTCTGTTCTGGGGTTCGGAGCGTGGGAGGGGGATCAGGGCTGGAGCAGAGGGTTGGGGTGTGGAGGGGTGTGAGGGCTCTGGCTGGGGGTGCGGGCTCTGGAATGGGGCTGAGGGCTTTGGGGTGAAGGAGGGTGCTTCAGGCTGGGACCGAGGGTTTCAGAGGGTGGGAGGAAGATCAGGGCTGGGGCAGGGGGTTGGGATGCAGGCTCCGGGCAGCACTTACCTCAAGCAGCTCCCAGAAGCAGCGGCATGTCCCCCCCTCCGGCTCCTACAAGGAGGTGTGGCCAGGCGGCTTGGTGCACTGTCCCGTCCGCAGGTGCCACCCCAGCAGCTCCTATTGGCTGCGGTTCCTGGCCAATGGGAGCTGTGGAGCCGGTGCTTGGGGTGGGGGCAGCGGGTGGAGCCCCCTGACTGCCCCTATGCGTAGGAGCCAGAGAGGGGGCATGCCGCTGTTTCTCGAAGCTACGCGGAGCCATAGCAGCTAGAGATCCTGCTTTGTCCCGCTGCACCACCAACCAGACTTTTAACAGCCCCGTCAGCAGTGCTGACCGGAGCCGCCAGGGTCCCTTTTTGACCCGGTGTTCTGGTAAAAAAAAAAAACGGACATCTGGCAACCCTAGATAGCATAGATCCTAAATCCTTCTTACTCCCTGGGCAAAGAACAGCACCAGGGTGAGGAAGACGGTCATTGGAGAGAGCACCGTAACTCCCAGCTTGAGGGGAGTAGCATTGAGGCTACACAATGTGCAGTGGGCCCCTGCCTTTGGTGGTGTCTGCTCCTTACTAACCCTTCTGCAGGGAGAAATTGCTTTCTCCCAGCATGCCTTTACTGGGGGTTTGGCAGCATGCCTGAAGTGACCACTGGACAGCTGGTTGCATGTCCCCCCTCCCCCCAATGGGTGTCCTGAGCTCCTTGAACAGGGGTGGGCAAACTTTTTGGCCTGAGGGCCACATCGGGGTTGCAAAACTGTATGGAGGGCTGTGTAGGGAAGGCTGTGCCTCCCTAAACAGCCCGTCCCCTCCCACTTCCTTGTCCCCTGACTGCCCCCTCCCAGGACCCCTGCCCCATCCAACCCCTCCTGTTCCCTGTCCCCTGACTTCCCCAACCCTTATCCACACTCCCGCCCCCTGACAGGCCCCCCAGGACTCCCACACTGGCATTTTCACACCCCTCACACTCACTACATGTGCTGTCACATGGTCTGCCCTGGGCAGGCAGAGTTTAGCACAGGGGTCTCAAACACACGGCCCGGGGGCCGCATGCGGCCCGCGGGGTTATTTTCTACGGCCTGTGAGCTCCTCGCGGCCCCCCCGCCCTCCCCCCAGCGTTTACCTAGAGCGGCTCCGGACTGACGCCCACCGGGGGCAGGGCAGGGCAGGCTCCCTGCCTGCCCTGCTCCCGCGCCACTCCGGGAAGCTGACGGAACCTGGGGAAGGAGGGGCGCAGGGGTGTATGTGGCTGTTGTTTCAGGCACCGCCCCCAGCAGCTGCCATTGGCCGTGAATGGGGAACCGCGGCCAATGGGAGCTGCTGGGGGCGGTGTCTGAAGCAACAGCCACCCCCACCCCCCATGCCCCTCCTTCCCCAGGTTCCGTCGGCTTCCTGGAGCGGCGCGGGGGCAGGGAGCCTGCCCTGACCCTGGTGCACATCGGGCCGGAGCCCACCCCCCGAACCCTTCCTGCAGCCAACCCCCCTGCCCCTGAGCCCCCTGCTGCACCCCTCCTGCACCCCGTACCCCTCCTGCACCCCGTACCCCTCCTGCACCCCACACCCCAACTCCCTGCCCTGAGCCCCCGCCACACCCCTGGGGGCAGAGTTGGGGTGGGGATTTCAGGGAAGGGGTTGGAATGGGGGCAGGGAAGGAGTGGGAAGAGGCGGGGCAGGGGCGGGGCCTCATGGAAGGGGTGGAGTGGGGGCGGGGCTGAGGGCGGCGGGGGGGAGGTGTCAGTAAATGCAGCCCTTGGGCCAATGTACTAGTCCTCATGTGGCCCTCGTGGTCATTTGAGTTTGAGACCCCTGGTTTAGCACATAAGCTGGTGCCTGGGCTCCAGCCCTGTAGCACCCAAGAGGGGCTGAGAGCTGCAGAGAGCCAGAGTGGAGCTGGTCCCTGCCACAAAGTGCGGTAGCAAAGTGAGCTGAGGGGGGCGGGGGGTGGTGGTGGTCACAGCAACACAGGATTTGAAGGGGCGGGGAGCAGCTGTTGGAGGACATGCCCTACCTCACATTCGGAAGGAGCGACACAATGAGATCCTCGCCATGGTTTTTGGTTGGGGGGCACAGCCTCTTGCAGCCAGTGCCATGCAGCACCGGAGGAGGACCAGGCCTGATCTTTGCTGTGTTTAGCTTTAGGCTGTTGAAAGGTCAAACCCTCGCCCCAGAAACACACTCATTTCCAGCTGAGCCTGAGCCAGGATGGGACTGGCTGCTTGGTGCTTGCCGAGGGACTGGACCGGCTGCTCCTGTGACAGGACCGCTCGGGCTAATGGCAATTCCATCAGAGTCTGCTTGTATCAGAGGTGCACTGGCCTTGCAGCATCTGCTCTTCCCCAGCCTGGCGTGTGCAGGGAGGGAGACAGAGGCCAGCAAGGCCCACTACTGGGCTGGCACCTGGCTGCAGAACTATAAAGGCTCTTTAGCGCACCCTAGTGTTCTCAGCTCTCCCTGCTGCCTGAGGCTCACTGTGCATGGCGTTGCACAGACCCTGCTGCCCTCACCTGGTGCCATCTGACGAGGGAGCAAGGACAAGGGTAGGAAAGCTCTATAAGATGCGAATTATCCACTACAGGCAATGTAGGTGTCATTATGCTAAATAATTTTATTGTTGAACCATAAAAGTGTGGAGACTCCGACTTGCTCTGGCCTGTACGCAGCGCTCTAACTGCTCCTGGGTGCTTAGAAGGGCATGCAAGGAACTCCACGAATGCCCCAATTGGAAACTACCATGAAGTCCAATAAACACAAAGCTCTGGCCAACTCCCTGCTAGGCCAGGGAGTTACTCTCTCCCCAGCATCTGCTTGTGCAGGGACTGCTAACTAGCACCTGAGCTGAAATTCTGGGGGACCTAGCCCCTAGTTGTGTATTGGGGAGAAGGTCTCGGGGAAATCCCAAGCCATCCCTTTGGCCCCAGAGCCAGAATTCTGTGCAGGGAGGTGACTACCGGTAGGCTGTGGTTCCATCACTGTCCCTCTGCAGCCCAGCCCCAGCGGACTCAGAGGGGCACAGAGAGAAGGCTCTTTCCCAGCTGGAGTGGCCTGGGAGCAGGGGTTATAGCCCAGGGCACCACCAGTCTCTGCTGCTGACTCCTGGGGACTGTGGTGTAAGACATGGGCCAGTGCTTCTGATCATGGTGGTGTGTTGGGTAACCTGCAATTGGCTGTGTGCCACGGGGGGGGGGCTGCCCTGGGACTCAGGGGACCTCAGATAAAACTTGTAACCCGTTTCACCACCACTGTTCATTCAGGCAGCTCAAGGAACCTCCTCGGGCAGGGCTAAAGCTGCTCGGCATTGCAGCCTGTGCAGGGAGGAGCTCACTAGTGCCTCTGCATGCACCAAGGCCCTTGCATGGAGCCCTGTGGTCACCGCTCTCCCCAAGATCTCTTCCCCGCATTAGCATGCAAATCCTCGTCCTTGGGCTTCGGGATTATGCCAGTATGTGCATGCTTGTTCTCAGAACCCATCCTATGAGGCCACGTGGTGTGCTGCATTCACATGAATGGGAGGCGCTGTGTGGGGTAGCAATGGGTGTCATGGCAAGAGAGGGGCCCCTGGGGAACAGGCTCCTTGGGGACTGTCTCAGCAACTAACAAAACTGTAGAACAACAAGAGAATGCACGGTGGGAAGCGTCTTTCACAGCAAGGCCAAGCAGGTCCAGCACTTGCCTGACCTTGTCCTGTGCTGGCACATGTGGTGCTTGGCAAGCACTGGGACCAGCAACAGGCTGAGCTGTGAGTGCATAGTGACATGAATGTGTGCGTGGGGACTGCTGTGCGTGTGCACCGGGGTAGGATGGCGTGTGTGTGTGGGGGTCTCACAACACTTGGGCTTGTAATAGAGAAAGGCCCTTGTCATTACATGCTCCCCAGGAATTCACTGTCTTCATCAGAGAAGAGAGAGAGCTCACAGGCGTCCTTCCACGCAGCAGATGATCTGAATGCTTTGGGTGGCGGGGGAGCCAGAGGAAGGGGAGCGACTGTGGCCTTGGCTTTGCTCTGGTGCTGTAATGCAGGAAGACACAGTGAGTACTGTCTCTGGAGGGCATAGGGCAGGGGTTCTCAAACTGGAGGTCGGGACCTCTCAGGGGGTCGTGAGGTTATTACATGGGGGTCATGAGCTGTCAGCCTCCACCCCAAACCCCGCTTTGCCTCCAGCATTTATAATGGTGTTAAATATATTAAAAAGTGTTTTTAATTTATAAGGGGGGGTTGCACTCAGAGGCTTGCTATGTGAAAGGGGTCACCAGTACAAAAGTTTGAGAACCACTGGCGGAGGGGAAGCTGCCGCACCCCTTAGTCACAAGCTATTGTGAGCATGTGCTTACTGCACCTGTGAGAGCTGACTGAGGGGCCCGTGTATCAGCCCAGAGCAGCAGGCGGGCCTGTGCACGAGGGGACATCCTCTGCCTGTTTCCACCTCCCTCCCAGCATCATGCCTGCTCAGAGCCTTCATCACCTCAGCTGCTTGGTCAGTGCTCAGGCAGAATAGGGTTCCCCCAAGCCAACCAGCGGGCAAGACCTGTACCTGTCTGGAGTGATGCCGCTCTCCTGGGCGATGCTCCTTGGGCTGGGCCTGCTGCCGGTACTGGGGTCTGGAGAACCGGCTCATCAGGTATTTGTAGAAGTTGCTTTTCACATGGAGGGGGTTGTATCTAGGTTCCACTTCCAGACTGTTCAGGGCGCTCTGTTCAGAGAGAAGTGACACAGGTCCCAGCTGGTACCTTGTGAGTGCCCAGCATCCAGCTTCCTGCTCTGAGGTGGCAGAAAATGGATGTAAGGATTTGTACCTCCATTCTTACTTCGTTCCCTGCTTAAATGACACGCACTCCTTCCAGTCATTCAGAGCAGAGAGGGAACCAATAGGTCCATGTAGTGAGTCGGCGTGGCTCCCCTCCTGCCCAGAAGAGGGAGCACCCTTGCAGGCATCCGAGTGGGCGGAGCCACCGCCGCCTGTTCCCGCCCCCCGGAAGTCAAGGGGCGGGACAGGAAGTATAAGGGCTGGCCGCCGGAGCTCAGTCAGGGCCCGGCCGCCGCAGGGAGCGGACGTGCTGCCGGGAGCTCGTGGCCGGGAGACCGCTGAGACCCAAGACCATTGCCCTAACTGGCCGGAGCTCCCCTGAGCCCACTACGAGGAGGAGCCGCCGGAGCCCCCCCCCACCCGTTATTGGGAGGAGCCGTCAGACCTGCCCCGCACCAACTACGAAGGCAAGGAGCCCCCAGAGCCCCTCCGCCCCTGTTGTTACCCGGAGGAGCCGCCGGAGCCCCAGGGGCCGGATTTCCCCGAGGAGCTGCCGGACCTGCCCCCAAGCCCCGCACGAGAGGAACCGATGCTGGTGGACTGGCCCGGACCCGGCGGCACCAACGAGGTAGGCCCTGAGGGGGAACTAGGAAGTAGCCCGGGGGTAGCTGACCCCGGTCAGGCTGCAGACGCATGTGAGCCAATGTCAGTGTGTTTCGGTCAGGACACCCCACTGACCCGCAGCGGCCACTGCTAGGGCCCCGGGCTGGGACGCAGTGGAGTGGGTGGGTGGCAGGTGGCTCCCGGGTGGCAGGTGTCCCCCTCACCCAACGCTCAAGTGTAGGAGCCTGGGCTTACCCCAACTGTTATATTGTTGCTCAGCCCCTGCCCCAAAGGGCCTGAGCCGTGACTGTTTGTGCCCCGCCCTGATCCAGGGCCTGGGCCTCAGGACTAACTATCTGTTTGCTCAGCCCCTGCACCCGAGGGCCTGAGCCCCTGAACTAACTGGTTGTCGTTCCACCAGTGGTGAGTCGGTGTGGCTCCCCTCCTGCCTAGGAGGGTCGAGCCCCGGCACGAACTTCTTACAGTTCACCACAGTAGCTGATGGAAATTGTGCAGGGCCTGATCCTTATCTGGGCCTTCCCTCGCCCCACATGGATAGCGGCTTGTACTTAGCATGAGCCAGATGTCACTTCTCCTGTGAGCATGTGTCTCTGCCTTTGGGCCTGCTAACCAGGCCTGCTGTCCCTGAGCAAGCATGACACACAGGAGTTCAGACACTGGCCTCTCCGTCTGTCACCCCTCACACACGAGTGTTTTGGACACTGGCCTCTCCGGCTCCCCTCACACACGGGTGTTTCAGACACTAGGCTTGCCACTTGCCAACTTTCTATTTGCACAAAACTGAACACACTTGACCTCTGAGGCCCCGCCCATGCCCTGCCCCTTCTCTGAGGCCCCGCCCCCTGCTCACTCTATCCCCCTCTCCCTCTGTTGCTCACTCTCCCCACCTCACTCACTTGCTCATTTTCATCAGGCGGGCTCAGGGGGTTGGGGTGTGGGAGGGGGTGAGGGCTCCGGCTGGGGATGTGGGCTTTGGGGTGGGGCCAGGGATGAGGGGTTTGGGTGTAGGAGAGGGCTCCGGGCTGGGGTGTGGAGCTGAGTGGTTCGGAGTATGGGAGGGGGCTCTGGGCTGAAGCAGGGGGTTGGGGTGTGGGAGGATGTACGGGCTCTGGACTGGGGGTGCGAGTTCTGGGGTGGGGCCAGAAATAAGAGGTCCAGGGTGTGAAATGGGGCTCTGGGCTGGGGCACGGGGTTGGGGTGAAGGGGGGGTCAGGGCTCCAGCTGGGGGTATGGGCTTTGATGTGGGGCTGGGGATGAAGGATTTGGGGTGCAGGAGGGGGCTCTGGGCTGGGGGGGCTCAGGGCTGGGGAAGGGGGTTAAGGTGCAGGGGGTCTGTGAGGGCTATATCTGGGGGTGCAGATTCTGGGTGGGGCTCGGGATGAAGGGTATGGGGTGTAGGAGGGTGCTCCGGGCTGGGACCAAGGGATTCAGAGGGCAGGAGGCTGATCAGACCTGGGGCAGGGGGTTAGGGCACGGGGGTGGGGGTGAAGACTCTCTGGCTCGCCTCACGCACCCAGGTGTTCAGAGAGGCCTCTGTGTGAACACCTGCCTGCATGAGAGGAGCCATAGAGGCCTGTATCTGAACACCCGTGAGTGAGGGAGACAGATGGAGAGGCCTCTGTCTGAACACCTGGGTGCATGAGGCGAGCCAGACACAGACCTCTCTGGCTCCCCTCACGCACGCAGGTATTCAGACACAGGCCTCTCTGGCTCCACTCACACACGGGTGTTCAGACACAGGCCTCTCCGTCTGTCTCCTCTCATACACAGGTCTCCACAGTTTTCAGACAGGTCTTCTCCACTGGTCTGGAAAAGTTCTGCTGCTCAGACCAGCTGCCTTTCTAAATCCTGCTGAGGGCCCTGGATGCTCCTAGCTGCAACTAACCAAAACGTTAGATAACCATTTCCTCCTTCGCTCACCTGCCAGGCCCCAAGAGCAGGGCCCTGGGTTTCCCAGCTATTCCATGCACCTGAAGCAGAGCAGGAATACAAGCAAAGCTCTACTTCCGGACATGTATTGGGGAAATGCAAGAGCCTGAACCCATGATGGGAGGAAGAGTATGGGGGTAATGACTTATTTATGCTAATCCTATTCATGTCAATAGGCCTGCACCTGCAATGCAAGTGAGAGGGTGTGAGGACCTTGCACTCCAAGCCAATGGAGGGATAGGGCCCCTCCAGCATGTCTTGCACATAGGTGACATGTCTGTGTCTGGATGTACCATTCCCTGCTAGTGAGCTGGTATCCTGTACATGCAGAACCTGCACTGCCTCTTGTTATCTAAACTTGTGTGCAGCCATTCGTCACTTGCCTCTATGGTGCTGAGTGCTGTCTCTGGAAGGTCAGCAGGGAGGGCCGGGACGTTGCATGGCAGCAGGAGTTCTCTGACTGCAATGGCTTTGATGAGCAGCGTGAAGGAGTCAGAGGGGATGATGACATAGTAGGAGTTCACTGTGATGCTCCAGCTTGGACCCACACTCTGTGGCTCACGTTTGGCCAAAAGCATCCAGTCCCTTTTCTAAAATCAAAAGCCAGAAGCAATGCTATCAGTGAAACCAGGGCAGGGTTGGCAGCTTCCCTCAGCACTAGCTCACTGCAGGGGCTGAGGGGCTCTGTAGCAGAGTCGGATAGATCTGTCTCAGATTATGAACTCCATTTTGTGTTAGGTGCTGAACTCAAGTCTAAAGTTGCCTGAGTGCAACTTATTGCATTGCTTTTGAGACAGCACCCTTTCTGGAAGGGGCTTGCCATTGCCTTGAAGGACTATCACGGAGAAGCCAACAAGGCTGTAATCTGGAGCCATTGATGACTGTGTTGCTCAGCTGCAGCCCAACCCCTAAGAACCAATGGAACATTGGTACATCTGGGCCAAGGACTGGGGGAGAGGCTGGAGCATCCCCATGGTGCACATGGCAATAGAACAGGCTACGTGAGAGGGGGTTCTGCTCTGGGCAGGGGGGCTGGCCATTACCACAGGTAAGAAGGGGGGAAGGAGAGAGAGGGCAGAAGGGATGAACTCCAGACTCAGGGGTGAGCTGAGAGCAGGAGAAGGGGTGTCTCAGGACTTTTGTTTTGTTTCCAAAGATCTGTAACTCTTGAGGACTTTCAGAGTAAAATTTCTGTGGTCAAGAAATCCCTTTACTAAGCCTGTGTTTCTCGCTTTCCTGACGCGCTGTTTCTGCAGGGGTTAAAATAGAAGCCCAGCATCCCCACAGCCTGAGTGACGCTCCAGGGAAGTGTGTGTAAGCAAGTGGGAGCGCTTGGCTGGTTCCCGACACTGTTTTAACGGTCTAGGGCGAGTGGGCAGTGGTGCCCCATGTCCCAAAGGAGGGTCTCGGACAAGAGGTCTGAGCCCAGGAATGTGCCGTACAGTCCCAGAGCTAGTAACAGAGGTTAGACTCTGTCCTGACCCAACTGGCTTAGAAGCATGTGGGACCAAGTGATTGCGTCCACCCACGACCTGGTGACCATACAGAGTGGTACCGGGCCAGGGTGTAACAGGCTCCATCGCCCAGACTGACTGTTGAAAATAGCCCTGCTGTTGAATTGTATAGCAACTGGATCAGAGAGACCCTGCTCCCCAGGCTGGGATCCGGAACTCTGTTTTTTACTGCTTCATTCACAGGTTCCAAGGCCAGAGGAGACAACTTTCATCATCTAGTCAGACCTCCTGCATAGCACAGACCAAATGATTTCCCTGAATTAATTCCTGGGTGAACTAGGCAGATCCAAGCTGGATTGAAAGTTTCCAGTGATGGAGAATCGACTGCAGCCATTGGTAAGCTGGGAATGGGCGACGGGGTGGATCACTTGATGATTATCTGTTCCGCTCAGGGGCAGCAAATTGTATGGGCCCATGGTGCCCGGGCTCCAGCAAATTCAGGTTCTGGGGGGCCAATGTTCGGGGTCAGGTCTACCTCCTGGCCCCACCTGCCGCCCCTGCACACCTCCCCAGAGCGTCCCTGCTTGCCCTGGGCAGCAGGCGGCTGCCCCCTGCAGCTCCGCGCTGCGCTCCCTCACCAGCCGCTGATGGCTGCAAGGGAGCGGTGCCGCGGGCAGGCTGAGGCGGCTGCTGCACCTGTGGAGGGAGGAGGGGAGGAAGTATATGGCAGCCCCCTCCCCTTGGCAGGTGACTCCGAGGGGAGGGGGGGGCTTATCCTGGCTGGACCTGAGCAGCAGCCTGGTGGGGCTTGGGTGAGTGTCATGCTGGGGGGCCCGGGGCCCCTCCCCCGGAGCTCGCTGCTGCCAGCGGGAAGAGGGCTGGGGGGAGTCCTCTCTGGCCCCCCACCCCAGCCCTGCAGCAGCCTGCCTGCTGCACCCCAAACTCATCCCCAGCCCAGCCCCATGCCCTGCACCCCCTCCCACACCTCAACCCTCTGGTCCCAGCCCAGAGCCCACACCTAGCACCCAAACTCCATCCCAGAGCCCACACCCCTCCTGCACCCAAACTCTCTCCCAGAGCCTGCACCCCAAACTCCCTCCTGCACCCAAACTCCGTCCCAGAGCCCACATCCCCTCCTGCACCCCAACCTCCTGCCCCAGCCCAGAGCCTGCACCCAGCACCCAAACCCCCTCCTGCACCCAAACTCCCTCCCAGAGCCTTAGGCAGGTGTGTGGGTGGGGGGGGGGGGCAAGACCAAAAATTATACAAACCTGCCACCCCTGGTTCTGTTCATTCCCGCTGAAACACCTGGCATTGGCCACTGTTGGGAGACAGGATACTGGGCTAGATGGACCTTTGGTCTGACCCAGTGTGGCTGTTTTTATGTTCCGGTGGTTAATTGAGAACATAGGAGTGAAAGGGACCCCCTGGGGCACTGAAGTCAGGAAGCCACATCATACAGTCAGTTTTATAAACTTATCAAGATCCATCTTAAAACCAGTTTGGTTTCTTGTCCCCAGTACTCCTACTGGGAGACGGTTCCAGAACCTCCCTCCTCTGAGGGTTAGAAATCTTCTAATTTCCATCCTAAATTTACTCGCAGCCAGTCTATCCCCATTTATTCTTTGCTAACACTGTCCTTTAGCTTCAATAGCTCTTTTCCCTCTCTGCAGTTAACTCCCTGATGGATTTATAGAGAGCAGTCATTTCCCTTCTCAGACTTCATTTTGCTAGACTGTACAAGGCAAGCTGTTTTAGTCTTCTCTCACAAAATAGCCCACCATTCCCCTACACATCCTACTAGCTCTTCTCTGCACATGCTGCAGTTTGATTTCATCTTTTTGAACATGCATGACCAGAACTGTACACAGTATTCTGGATGAGGTTTTACCAGTGCTTTGTACAATGGGATTAATGTTTCCCTATCTCTACTGGAAATACCTCACCTAATACATCCTAGGAGTTCCCTTTGCCTTTTTTCATGGCTGCATCACATTGGTGGCTCATAGTCGTCTTATAAGAACACAGAACATAAGAATGGCCGTACTGGGTCAGACCAAAGGTCCATCTAGCCCAGTATCCTGTCTACCGACACTGGCCAATGCCAGGTGCCCCAGAGGGAGTGAACCTAACAGGTAATGATCAAGTGATCTCTCTCCTGCCATCCATCTCTTATGATCAACTAATGCACCCAAGTCTTTCTCCTCCTCTGTTATTTCCAACTGATCAGTCCCCATCTTATAGCAGAAATTCCTACTAGTCCCTAAGTGCATCATGACTTCACAGTTTGTATTATTACATTTAATCCCATTTCTATTACTCCAGTTCTCAAGGTCATCCATTTCTTCCTAAACGATATTCCAGTGTTGACAATGCCTCCCAACTTTGTGTCATCATCAAAGTTCACTAGGCATAGTGGATAGGGGGAAGCAGTAGATGCGATAGATCTTCATTTCAGTGAGGCTTTTGACACAGTCCCACATGACATTCTCATAAGCAAACTAGGGAAATGTGGTTTAGATGAATTACTATAGGATGCGTGCACAACTAATTGAAAGACCATACCCAAAGAGCAGTTATCAGTGGTTTGCTGTCAAACAGGTAGGCTGTATCTAGTGGGTTCCCACAGGGGTCAATCCTGGGTCCAGTACTATTCAATATGGGATGCATAAACAGCAGAAACTTGAGTATGAATAGAGAGGTTATTTTACCACAGTATATGGCACTGATGCAATCACTGATGTAATATTGTTTCCAGTTCTGGTGTCCACAATTGAAGAAGGATGTTGATAAATGAGAGAAGGTTCAGAGAAGAGCCACAAGAATGATGAAAGGATTAGAAAACATGCCTTGTAGTGATAGACTCAAGGAGATCAATCTATTTAGCTTAACAAAGAGAAGGTTAAGGGGTGACTTGATCACAGTCTACAAGTACCTACATGGGGAACAAATATTTAATAATGGGCTCTTAAACCTAGAAGACAAAGGTATGACACGATTCAATGGCTGAAAGTTGAAGCTAGACAAATTCAGACTGGAAATAAGGTGTAAATTTTTAATGGTGAGAGTAATTAACCACTGGAACAATTTACCAAGGCTTGTGGTGGATTCTCCCCCATCTTTTCCATCAAGATGGGATGTTTTTCTAAAAGATTTGCTCTAGGAATTATTTTGAGGAAGATCTATGGCCTGAGTTATACAGGAGATCAACCTAGATGATCACAATGGTTCCTTCTGGCCTTAAAATCTATGAATCTATGAAAAATTATGTTAAACATAAAAGTATCACTTTTCACAGCAGACTTACCCAGCCCAGGAAAGCCTGGGGACAAATTAAGCCTGGGTTGGGGGAGGTAGAGGGGGCCAGGGGCGATGGGAGGGGATAGTGGGGGGTTAGGGGAGGCAGCGAGGGGCTGGAGCTTGAAGTCCTGTGGACAGAGCCTTCTGCCCTGCCACCCCAGAATCCCAAAACTTGAGCCCCACTACCCATGGGAAGGTGGGGAACTCACCTGCTGCCTGATCCTCCAGTGTTGTGCCCCAGGTGTCTCCAGAGGGGGGCAGGGCCCAACCCCTGCTGGCGGCCCCAACAACCAACACCAAGCCGGTGCATCCAGGAGCAACAGGGATGGGGAGGTGCCGCTACTTTGTCCCTCCACCCCCCAATCACAGCCCAGGAGGCTGTGGCCGCAAGAAAAGTTCCTGGTGGCCACATGCAGCCACGGTATCTGCATTTGAGAAACGCTGGTCTAGGTTTACTCAGTCCTATCTCTGTACAATGGGCTGGATTTGATGACTTCTGTAGGTCCCTTCCAGCCCTACATTTCTATGGTTCATTAGTACACTCCTGCTTATTGTGCCAATCTCATTAATGAAAATATTACATCAGCTTTGGTCCCAAGTCCAGTCTTTGAGGAACTCCACTAGTAATGTCCCTCCAGCCTGTAGTCATTTCCCTTTCTGCCAGCTTCTTGCCCACCTTACAATTCCTGTACTCATTACTATCTTCTCTACCTTAACTAATAATTTCTCATGTGGCACTGTATCAAATGGTTTTCTGAAGTTCAAATAGATTAGATCTACTGCATTTCTCTTGTCTAAGAAATCAATTATCTTATCAAAGAAAGATATCAGGTTAGTCTGGCATGATCTATTTTTGGTAAACTCGTGCTGCATTTCATCCTATTTTCCATTTACCTCCATGTCTTTAAATATTCTTTCCTTCAAAATTTGTTCTAAAACCTTGCATACTATTGAGGTCATAATAACAGGTGCCTGGATCACTTCCCCCCCCCCCTTAAAAATGTGTCTTATTTCGAGTCTGGATTTGTCATCTTCAGCTTCCAGCCATTGGTACTTGTGATGCCTGTGTCTGCTAGGCTGAAGAGCCCTCTATCTCTGGCCATCTGCTGTAGAATAGCTCCAGTGCATCTGCTGGAAGAACTCACCGGCACAGCTGTGGACTAAACACAGAAACTGCAGGTCCTTGGGACAGCTCTCCTGGAGCAGGCTGGACTCTTTACCCCCAGACTGATGCCTGCCTTTGCCCCAGTCACAGATCCCATGCAGACTGCAGCTTGCATGCACTCACCCGCAAGCTGTGACACAGAGCATGGAAGTTGTGCTGGTTCATCTCCAGCTCATCCCAGTCCAGCTGCCAACAACTCGTAGGTTTAATGATGAAGGGAAGTCCAAACAGTGCTGACTCACAAACCCCTTCAGCCTTCAGAGCCCTGCGAAAACAAAGGGCAACCTGGTGAAGACTGTCTGTGCTCAACCCATAGCAAAAGAAACTGACTGTTAAACACTTACTCCCGGGGTGTGGTGGTGGTGCAGGGTCTGAGATCCCACCCACGCCTGGTGCCAGTGCCCTAAAGACACACTGGAGGTGGGGGGATCCAACCCACACCGGGTGCCAGTGCCCTAAAACACTCACGCCCCGGGGGAGGAGATTTAGCCCACACCTGGTGCCAGTGACCTAAACACTCACCTTCCTGGAGGGGACCCAACCCATACCCAGTGCCCTAAACACCCACAATCAGGGGTGGGAGTGGTGCTGGGAGAGCTCAGAGTAAAGCTGAGCTGCTGCACGAAGGCAGGGTTTGCTATTCTGTCTGGTCAGCACAGAATCGAGTACCCCACACTGTGGGACTGATGGTGCCCTCTTTTGTATGAGTTGTAAATACTAACCACTCATGTGTCCCAGTCAATCCCAGCTCAGGCAATGATATTCTTTCCTAAACGATTTCAATTGGATCATGATTCTCTTTCACTTTCCATCCTAAACTCTGATGTTGTGTGCTGTTAAACAGCTGCTGTATCTCACCCCAGAGGTTGCTGCTTTTTAGTGGTGTCTGAAGTGTTCCCTCTGTAGCCTCATTGGCGGTTGGAAAGGGTTGTTTAGTCAATATGTGTAAGTGCTTTGAACATGTACAGTTGTATACATGTTCTAAGTATTTAACTAATCTTTGGTATAATCACGAATTTATACAAAGGTGACTGGGAGGGATTGTAAAATCATTGTATACTAAGCTGTTCATTAATTAAATAAAATCCCTTCTATGCACAAGCCACAGAAAAGAACTAGAGAACCTGTCTCTATTATTATCATTATTAATTATTATTACTGGAATAACTGCCTGATGGGAAGGAGAAGCGTAAGTTTGACTTGGAGGCGTGAGAAAAATAGCACTGCCTTATTTAGATATTTGTAGCTGTCCCATCACCATGTCACATAGGCACTGGACTGTACAGGACCAAACTGTATGTGGGACCAGCTACTAACTCATTCGCAACAGGGGCTGGGGGCCAAGATTCCGACCTGGCAAGCCTGACAAAGTATCTGTACTACATTTACAGCTGGAAGCTTTTCTTGCTATTGTACCTGGTGGTGGAATAACTGCCTCAAGTATCTGCAAGTCTGGTGTCCTACTATGCTAATTGCTAATTTTTCCTTTGCAGAATGACGTCACAGCATCGTCATTTGCTAAGCTCTAGTCACTAGGGGGAGCGCTGGTTCTCAAAAAGCATTTGGCTTCAGCCTGTAATCAGTCCGTAACCTAAGAGTGCGTGACAAGATTGCTCATAACGTGACTCCGACTTTTCAGTGCAGGTAAATGAACAGCGTGAGTTAAACTCTGGGGTGGGAGGGAGCAGGGCTGCCCAGAGGGTTCAGGGGGCCTGGGGCAAAGCAATTTCGGGGGCCCCTTTCATTAAAAAAAAGTTGCAATACTATAGTAACATGTATTTGGAAATGTAAAAAATAACTAGTGAAATACATTCAAAAATTAATTTGTAATAATTTGAAAATACACTAAATACATTATTTAAAAACATTAAATGCTTTAATGGTATGTATACATTTGCAGTTACATAATGGGCTGTTGCTGGGTGATGGTGATGGTTGGTGCCAATGGGCTGTCGCTGCCTGGGGGTGGTGCTGCTGTTGCCCAGAGCTGGGCTCTGGGTTGGGGGGTGCCCGGCTCACAGGGGCTGGGATCAGGGGGGTGTCTGGCTCAGAGGGGCTGGGCTTGGGGCTGGGGGTCAGGGCTGTGGGGGGGATGGGGTCGGGGGGTGTCCGGCTCAGAGGGGCTGGGCTCAGAGCTGGGGGTCAGGGATGTGGGGGATGGGGTTGGGGGGGTGCCCAGCCCTGGCCCAGGGCCGCCCAGAGGATTCAGGGGGCCTGGGGCAAAGCAATTTTGGGGGCCCCTTCCATAAAAAAAGTTGCAATACTAATATAGAACACTATATTCTCGTGGGGGCCCCTGCGGGGCCCGGGGCAAATTGCCCCACTTGCCTCCTTCCTCCCCCCTCCCCCCCCGGGCGGCCCTGGGAGGGAGAAGCCAGAGATGAGACATCTGGCGACACAGCTTTGTACAAATAGCCCATCCTCCTGTTGTTTCTTGCATCTCTTTCCTTCTGTGGATTTTTGTCTCCCCGCTTTTCTCCTGAGATTCAGTTTTCCCATGCCATGTGTGACAGGACAAGCTGTTACTGGGGAGTGAGGAAAAGGCCTCTGAAGAACAAATCAGAGCTCAATAGTAATCTACACTTCTACTCCCTATTTATGATGTAGAACCCCACCATTGGGGCTCAGAGCTCCCCTTTCCTCAGTACCAGAAAGCCAGATTTCAGGGAACGGGAGCAGATCTTGGGCAGTATTACCTCTTACCTGAAGGCTGGATTCAGGGCATGGGGCACAGTAGAAGTGAGCCATCTGAGGCTCCTGTCAGAGTGGGGGAAGGGAGGGCCTGGCTGTCTCCCTCCATGGCAAAGCCTGCTAGGAAAGGGGAGGAGTCTGGGGACTTTAAAATACAAACCCCTCACTCGGGCAAGGATAGGGAAGACAGCAGGGAGAAGGAGGTGAGGGGGCATGCCATGAGTGTGGCACTGGGAGGCAGGATCTGTGGAGAGTGCAGGTAGGGGCTTGGACAGCCTCATCTCTCTGGGCTTTAACTACTGCTGGCTGGACTGTGGCTGTGCTTGGGATTTCTCTTGTTCTGGAAGCTGGGCTATGTGCTACCTGGCATGTCTTGTGGTGCAATGAACACTTTGGTTTTTACCACACCACCCAGTGGCAGTGCAGAAGCATCCTGATACTACTGTGGATGGTGTCATGCTGTGCAGTTGGTTGCATCTCGCATCCCAGGGAGATGATTGTTCCATGCACTTAATCTGTGGGAGGTTTCAGAGTAGCAGCCGTGTTAGTCTGTATCAGCAAAAACAACGAGGAGTCCTTGTGGCACCTTAGAGACTAACAAATTTATTTGGGCATAAGCTTGCGTGCCCAAATAAATGTGGCACTTTAGAGACTAACACAAGTACTCCTCGTTGTTTTTAATCTGTGGGGTTCTCACTAACAGTCCCTGTCAGCAGGGTTGCTGAAGGATGCACCATCACTGCTCTGTGACCTCGCTTCAGCTCTGAGCAGATGTGATAGTCAGCAGAAGGCAGGTAGTAGGACGGTGATCCCAGACAGATATGCAGAGATTCAGTCTGGTAATGTCAGAACCTGTTTCTTGCCTTTAGAACTCTACTCCTCATACCCCTGCTGAGTGACACGCTAATGAGGTTTCAGTGTAACATTAATTCCCCAATAGCTGACGTCCTGTGGTGTGCATAAAGGTGAGAAACTAAACAAACTCTTGCATGGTGACAGATTTCAGAGTGGTAGCTGTGTTAAGTCTGTATCAGCAAAAACAAGGACTCCTCGTTGTTTTAAACAAACTCTCTGCACCTCTCACAGAAAGGGTTTGTGCATTACGTACTTTATGACTCTGAGTTTATACAGTGCTGTAGTTGGACAGGCTGCCATCTGGTATGGTGTGTTGACATCATCTGTTCTCACTGTGACATCAGCTGCCCCAGGAAGCAGAGCTGGGCTAAGCAGTCTCTCCTGAATATCACATTTCACACATGCTACAAAGAGATTTGGCAAAGATGACTGGAAATATAACTACTAATAACATTTTGTACTTTACATCCTCAAAGCAGTGTACAAACACTTAAATATATTAATATTGTTTACTGACAGGCAACTACACAGGGAACAATGAAGCCAGAGTATGGGACACGAGGACAACACTGTCTAGCTAATGAACGATCCCAGCTCCCTCACAAGGTAGGTAAAAATAATTGCCCCCATTTTAAACAGAGAAGAAAGTAGCGCATACTTAATTTTTAGGTATGTGCAGAAATGATTTCCTGAAAATGGACGGACTGCCGAGTCAGCTCAATAGAAGGCACACAGCGTGCCAGCTGCAGAGCTCAGATTAGAACTCAGGAGCACCTGGCTCCTCATCCCAGGAGCAGACCACTAAGCAATGTCGCCTCTCTAGTCAGTCTCTCTCTTTGTAAGTCATCCACACAGAAGGAGGGAACAAAGAGCGAGACCTTGTCCTGCTTGGGATATTAATAAAATGGTTGTTGGTGACAGGACAGGGGAAGCTCTAGCTAAAAAGAAAGGAAATCCTCTGAACAGCTGTAGGAAGGTGGAGCTGAGGCAGTGTCCTAGCTTCATAATGGGGTCTCAGCCCACTCTTCCCCTTAGGGTCTTTTGTTTGTTGTTTCCCCTTCGGCTCTGCAGAGTGATAGCTACTTAATCTCTGTGAAATCCCATCACTAGGTTGACATCTGCTCCGTGTCCAAAGGGATCTTGCTTATCTAATGGCTGTAGGCAGCTTCTTTTCTCTTCTGGGGATGCAACTAACCTCACATTATGCAGAGGTGAGGAAACTCTTGTCTTTGATTCCCTTCTTAGGGCTTGCTGACACTTGAAAAGCTACGGTGGCACAGCTGTGCCGCCAAGAGGTGATAGCTAGAATTCTTGCATCTATCTAGCACTTTCTACGCTGGGGATTAGTTTGGTTTAACTAAACTGCTCAGTGGTGTGAATTTTTCACACCCCTAAACGACATAGTTAAGATGACCTAATTTTCTAGTGTAGACCAGGCCTTAGCTCCAACAAGGCAGTGTATTAAGTGTATGATTCAAAATGAGCAAAGGAGCAAAATCCATTTTTCACAAACAATCAGAATAAGTGCCAGCTCCTGCCTGTAAATACAGCTTCGGAGGAGAGTGCCCTTCTAAATGAAAGGGCAAAAATAAGCTTCTGAAACATCCATTCTAAAGGAAACGTGCAAGAGAGCATGTCATATACTTTGTCTCTGGTTTGGACCCGGTCAGATAAGAGCTGTCTGTGCAATACCTGTGGAGGGTAGAAGTGTGCTCCTGCTGCTCTGGCAATATGATGCTGTGAATTTAAAAATGGCCCTGAATCACACAGGCATTGACGGGAGGAGGGGCAGGGCCATGTGCTCAGAGATTCCAGTGGCAATGCAGGTGCGACCCCATAGTTAATAACTACTGCGGGAAAGCACCTAGTTCTGCTGCATTTAGGAAGAATTCAGATTTCCAATTTTCTAATGATCACACACACACACACACACACACACACACACACACACACACACAGATGGTTACTCACCTTCCTGTAACTGTTGTTCTTCTGGAGGTGTTGTTCACATCCATTCCAATTAGGTGTGCACGCACTGCGTGCATGGTCGTCAGAAACTTTTCCCCTTAGCAGCTCCTGTCGGGTCGGCCAGGGAGCTCCTGTCGGGTCGGCCAGGGAGCCCCCTGGAGTGCTGCCCTCATGGCGCTCAATATATTACCCTGCCGACCCAACCCCCCTTCGGTTCCTTCTTGCCGGCTACTCCGACAGAGGGGAAGGAGGGTGGGTTTGGAATGGACGTGAACAACACATCTCGAAGAACAGCAATTAGAAGAAGGTAAGTAACCGTCTTTTCTTCTTCGAGTGATTGTTCACGTCGATTCCAATCAGGTGACTCTCAAGCTCTGCCACATGGGTGGGATCAGAGTTAAGGAATCACTGACTGGAGCATTGCCCTACCGAGAGCTGCATCATCTCTAGCATGCTGTGTGATGGCATAGTGGGTGGCAAAGGTATGCACCGAGGACCAGGCAGCTGTCTGATGCAGATATCTTGGATGGGCACCTGGGCCAAGAAAGCGGTGGAAGAGGCCTGAGCCCTTGTGGAGTGTGCCGTTATAGCCGGGGCTGAAACCTTGGCGAGGTCATAGCAGGTACGGATACAGTCCGTAATCCAGGAAGAGATGCGCTGTGAGGAGACCGGAAGTCCCTTCATCCAGTCCGTCACCGCTACAAACAGCTGGTTTGACTTCCTGAAAGGCTTTGTGCACTCAATGTAGAACGCTAATGCCCTCCGCACATCTAATGAGTGAAACTTCTGCTCCTGTGCATTGGCATGTGGCTTGGGGTAGAAAACGGGTAGAAAAATGTCCTGGCTGAGGTGGAATTGGGATACCACCTTGGGCAGGAAAGCTGGGTGCGGTCTGAGTTGTACCTTGTCCTTGTGGAAGGCTGGGGGGGGGTCAGAGGTTAATGCTTTTAGCTCCAGTACCCTCCTGCCCAATGTGATGGCAACCAGAAAGGCCCCCTTCCACGAGAGATACAGAAGGGAACATGTAGCGAGCGGCTTGAATGGGGCTCTCATAAGCCTAGCTAGGACCAGACTGAGGTCCCAAGTCGGTACCGGTGGGCAAGACTGAGGGTATAGCCATTCCAGGCCCTTAAGGAAAAGGCCTACCATAGGACTGGCGAAGACTGAACGCCCCCACTCTCTGGGGTGGAACGCTGAGATGGCCGCGAGGTGCACCTTGATAGACGGTCCGGCCAGGCCTTGCCGCTTCAGGTGTAGGAGGTAGTCCAGGACGAATGGTATAGATGCCTGGAGTGGAGATACTCAATTGAGATTACACCAGCATGAAAACCGTTTCCATTTGGCCAGGTAGGTGGCCCAGGTGGAAGGTTTCCTGCTACCAAGGAGCACCTCCCTCACCGATTCCATACACTGGAGCTCCCTTCGTTTAACCATGAAGCTTCCAGGCTGTGAGGTGCAAGGACTGGAGGTCTTGGTGAAGCAGGTGGCTGTGGTCCTGTGTAATCAGATTGGGAAGGGGGGCAACACAATGGGGGTGCAGACTGACAGCTCCAGAAGTGTGGTGTACCAATGTTGGCATGGCCACGCTGGAGTGAGCAGAATTACCTCTGCCTTGTCCCTGCGGATCTTGAGAACCTTGTGGATGAGTGGCATCAGAGGGAAGACATACAGTAGATGGTTCCCCCCAGTGCATCATGAATGCATCTGAGATTGATCCCAGGCTGTGTGTTTGGAAGGAGCAAAACGTTGGACACTTCCTGTTGCTCCTGGTGGCAAATAGGTCTACCTGGGGAAACCCCCACCTTTGGAAGATGGAGTGGATGACCTCCGTCTGGATAGACCACTTGTGACTGCGGAACGACCTGCTGAGGTGGTCTGCAAGCTCGTTACATGCTCCCGGGAGATAGGACGCCTCCAGATTAATGGAGTGGGCTACACAAAACTCTCGCCTCCTGACAGAGAGGGGAGAAGCGGGCTCCGCCCTGCTTGTTTATGTAAAACATGGCGGTGGTGTTGTCGGTCAGCACCGCCATGCAGTGACCTTGCAATATTGTATGGAAGGTCTGGCAGGCTAGTCTTACCGCTCTGAGCTCCTTTATATTGATGTGGAGCAGGATCTCAGACTGTGACCACATGCCCTGAGTCTATAAGTGTCCTAGGTGTGCCCCCGAACCGAGGTCTGACGCGTCCATTACTAAGGTCATGGACGGTTGAGTGGTGGTGAATGGGACTCCTTCGCAGGCCATGCGAGGGTCCAACCAACATCTTAGGGTGTCTAGGACTCGTGACAGTACTGTTACTACCAAGTCTAGACTGTTCTGACCGGGTGATAAGCCGTAGCGAGCCACGCCTGGAATGGTCTGAGCCTCATCCTGGCATGCCTCACCACATAGGTGCATGCTGCCATGTGTCCCAAGAGGTGGGCATGTCCTCGCGATGGTGGTGGGGTATTGTCTGAGCGTCTGAATGACGTGTGACAGTGTTTGGAACCTGGGTTGTGGCAGGATGGCTCTTGCCTGAACCGAGTCCAGCACTGCCCCAATGAATTCTATTCGTTGGGTGGGTGACAGTCGATTTGTCTACATTGAGGAGGAGACCCAGCCTCTGGAAGGTCTCTCTGACTAACTGGACATGGGACTCCACCTGCTCCCTGGAGCGCCCCTGCAGGAGCCAATCGTCTAAGTAGGGGTACACTTGCACCTGTCTCTTTCAGAGAAAGGCTGCGACGACTGACATACACTTGGTGAAGACCTGGAGGGCTGTTGATAACCCGAATGGGAGCACCATGAACTGATAATGTATGCGGTTGACAATGAACCTCAGGAAGCGTCTGTGAGGCGGCCAGATGGCTATGTGGAAGTATGCATCTTTCATGTTGAGGGCAGCGTACTAGTCCCCTGGAACCAGGGAAGGGATAATTGTGCTCAGGGAGACCATGCGGAACTTTAACTTTACCATGAACTGATTGAGTCCTTGCAGGTCTAAGATGGTTCTGAGACCCGCCCCCTTTGCCTTGGGGATTAGGAAATAACAGGAATAGAATCCCTTGCCCCTTAGCTCCTGAGGAACCCCCTCCACCTCTCCCGTGGCAAGGAGCGCCTGCACCTCCTGGATAAGGAGTTGCTCGTGAGAGGGGTCCCTGAAGAGGGACAGGGAAGGGGGATGGGAGGGAGGGGAGGAGCAGAATTGGAGAGAATATCCCACTTCTGCCGTGCGAAGAGCCCAGTGGTCTGATGTTATATGGGACCATGCACGGTAGAAGTGGGATAGACGGTTCAAAAAACACGGGGAAGGATCTGTAATCGTGGCTGGTACGCCGTCCTCGTCCTAACCCTAACCCTTCAAAACCCTTGCTTGGGTCCCAACGATGGCTTGGTCGGGCTCTGCCCTTGGCCTGAGGGAGGGTTGGAAGGCCAATGCCTCGAATTCCTGCCCCTCTGTCAGTAAGTATCCTGCCTCAGGTGGGGCTGGTATTGCCTCTGCTGTTGCACAGGCTGAGGCTTTCTCTGGGTAGCAGGTGTATGCATCCCCAGAGATTTCATCATTGCCCTGGAATCCTTAAGGCTGTGAAGCCTTGAATCAGTCTGATCTGAAAACAGCCCTGCACCCTCAAAGGGAAGGTCCTGCAGGGTCTGCTGAGCTTCGGGGGAAGCCCGGATGCTTGGAGCCAAGCTGTTCTCCTCATGACCATCCCCGAGGTGATGGTACATGCCGTGGAGTCAGCCGAGTCGAGTGAGGCCTGCAGGGATGTCCTGGCAACTGCCTTCCCTTCCTCAACCAGAGCCGAGAACTCAGCCTTTGACTCAGTGGGGAGTAACTCCTTATATTTTGACATGGAGTCCCACGAGTTAAAATGATACCTGCTGAGGCTAGCTTGCTAGTTAGCTATCCTCAGCTGTAGACACCCTGCGGCATAAATTTTCCTGCCAAAGAAGTCCATCCATTTGACCTCTTTGGCCTTAGGAGCCGGTGCTTATTGTCCCTGATGCTCCTTCTCATTCACTGCAGAGACCACAAGGGAGCAAGGGTGTGGGTGGGAGAACAAGAATTCATAACCCTTAGAGGGAACAAAGTATTTTCTTTCCATACCCCTGGCGGTCAGTGGAATGGAGTCTGGAGTCTGCCACAAAGCACTATATAATTGTTGCCAATAGTCTTAATTACTGGCAACGCCACTCTGGAAGGGCCCTCCGACGTAAGAATGTCCACCACCGGGTTCTCTGGCTCAATTACTTCCTCCACCTGTAGGCCCATATTACGGACGATGCGGCAGAGTAGGTCCTGGTGGGACCTGTGATCGATGGGCGGAGGACCTGAAGTTGACACTCTGGCCACCGCCTCATCAGGCGAAGATGAAGAAGAGGCCAGTGGAGGCACACGGTCATCATGGCCCACCATGTGCCAAGTGGTTCAACGTGGTCCGACAGGACCTTGGATGTGGATGGATCTGGGGCCGGTTCCGATGTGCTCTCTCTAGTATGCGGGGGTGGTCTGGATAGAGCCGCCTCTGTGCTACGAGGGATGGTTCTGTCCACCGGTGATCGTGCCTTGTGATGCCCCAATGCAACCGACCTAGAAACCCTGGAAGGGGTACCCTGGGCCTGATGGTAAGCCCAGGGGGTCCTGAAGGGCCATTGTGCAGCAGGTGGCCATTGAGGTTGCCAGGATGAAGGAGCGTGTTTCCCGCGCTTGTCCGAACTGTGCCTACTATGCTGTGAGTAGTAGGAGCCATCCTCAGAGTCCGAGGGCGACGACCACACCACGGCGGTCCCGAGGATCCCTGCACTGGCAGTCGGTACCAAGAGGAGGAAGTCGGAGATCGGTGCTGCGACGACTGTGTAGACGAACAGTGCCAGCTTTCCTGTGACTTAGACCGGTGCGGGGAGCGGCTCCTATGTTCCAGTGCCTTATCATGGTGCCGGGTGATAGAGGGCAATCGTGACCAGTGCCAACCCCCCGGTGCCAGAGATCCCGAGCGATGCGCTCCCTGCGTCTTACTGTCATGTACTGAGACCGATGCCGGGGGTGAAGAAGACTGTGAACGGTGCCAGTTTGGAGAGGAAGATTGCCTCATCATTGCTGGTTTGCCTCTAGATGGCACCCGTCTAGGTGGTGCTGGGGGCTTGTCTCTAACAGCAGGGGGCTGAGGCACAGTACTTTCTATGAGGTCCCTTGCCACCTTGAAAGTATCTGGGGTGGAGAGGGCTTCCAACTCCTCCACCAAGTCGAGCTCCCCTGGAGAGTCACTGGGTGCTGGACTCAACAGTGCCGACTGGATCGCCGGATTCGACGCCACGGGGTCTTGCTGTTTGGAAGTTAAGTCCTTCTTCTGGGGCATCTCCCTGGATGGTCTTGCTCTCTGAGGAGAGGGCCCTCTGTCGGCCTTCTTATGGCGCTTAAGGGGCACTGTGGATGTCGACTGGTGCTGGGGCGCCGCACTGTGCTGCGGTGCCGGGGATCTTCTGTACTGAGGATCTCTAGCACCAGAGTTTTCTTTGTACTGGTTCGCAGACCACCGCCGGGGTGCTCTGCACTGAGCTTGGGCCCAGGGCTTGGTGGTCGGGTGCTGCGGGACGGAGTGCAACTTCCATTAGTGGTTGTTTCAAACAGAAGTCACGTTCCTTCCTAGTCCTAGACTTGAAAGCCTTGCAGATCTTGCAGAGCTTGGACTGGTGCGCCTCCCCTAGACACCTCAAGCACGAGTTGTGAGGGTCACTGATGGGCATAGGTTTCTTGTATAGACCGCAAGATTTAAATCCTTGGGCTTGAGGCCTGCCCTGGAGCCCAAGGCGGGGTGAGGGGAAAATGATCCACTCACCAACTATACTACTAACAATAACTAAAACAAGAAAATAAAGAAAATTTTTAAACTAAGAATGGCTAGGGTGACCAGACGTCCTGATTTTATCGGGACTGTCCCGATATTTCCTTGTTTGTCCCGCGTCCTGACTGATGTGCGGTCGGGACACTGGACAAACAAGGAAATGCTCCGGAGCCCGGAAGTGCTCGCATCCCCCCACCCCGACTCCGCCCCCTCCTCCCCCCATTGGCTCCCTCCCCGAATCCCCACCTCTTCCCCAGGCTCACATTTCCTCCTCCCTCCGCAAGCGCTGGAGGGAGGCCCGGGAGACGCAGGGGAAGCGCGAGGCCAGGGTGAGTGGGAGTCTGGCCTGGCCCCGAGCGCAGGCAGGACTCAGTCGGGCGGTAGGGAGAGTAGGGGGCGGCCCGCAGGGCCAGGTGGCAGCTGTTCTCCCCCCCGGGCAGCGGGACTCGGGAGCAGCCGCTGCTGCAGTTCCTACTGCCGCGCGGGGAGGAACCAGCCAATGGCCAAGCTCGGCGGCTGCGGCTCTGGCTCTGGCGCCCCCGAACCCGGGCCTGCTGCGGGCACCCAGCAGCGCGCACACTGCGCGCACCCAGCCCCTGGCCAGTCGCGTTTGGGCTGCTGCCCAGCTAGTGCAATCCCCCCCCCGTGTCCCAATATTTGACTTGGGTGATCTGGTCACCCTAAGAATGGCTAAGGGAAGACTTGAAGGCAAGCAAGCTAATGCAGTTCCAACGCCGCCATGGACGGTAAGAAGGAACTGAAGGGGGGTCGGGTCGGCAGGGTCATATATTGAGCGCCATGAGGGTGCTGCTCCAGGGGGCTCCTTGGCCGACCCGACGGGAGCTGCTAAGGGAAAAAGTTTCTGACGACCGTGCATGCGGCGCGAGCACACCTAATTGGAATCGACGTGAACAATCACTCGAACTTCTTGAGGGTGGGTGGTGAATATTAAGGGGAGGGCTGCCCATGGTGTCATGGAGGGCATTGAGAGACTGAAGTGAAACCAGTAAGGAAAATAGCATTTTCCTTACTGATTTTACTTTGTACTCCCACTAATATGTAACTTCTGGTAGCTTCAACCATCTGACAATTACTTCAGTACTATATGAACAGATTTAACCATTTTGTAAGAGGACACCTATCTACGTGCTGCTCTGGCCCCTGCTAAGCATAATCTATCAGCACAGGAAGTGTTATTTCTATCACTGTCAAACATAAATCATCTATAAAATCATGAAAGGCGTGGAAAAAGTGAATGGTGAAGGGTTATTTACCCTTCCCCACAATACAAGAACTAGGGGTCACCTGATAAAATTAATAGGCAGCAGGTTTAACACAAACAAAAGGAAGTACTTCTTCACACAATGCATGGTCAACCTGAGGAACTCATTGCCATGGGATGGTCTAGATAATACCTAGTCCTGCCATGAGTGCACAGGACTGGAATAGATGACCTCTCGAGTGCCTTCCAGTCCTATGATTCTATGATGTTGTGAAGGCCAAAAGTATAGCTGGGTTCAAAAAAAGAACTAGATAAATTCATCAATGGCTACTAGCCAGGATGGTCAGAGATGCAGCGCCATGCTCAGGGCGACCCTAAACCTCTGACTGCCAGAAGCCAGGAAGGGAAGACGGGTGCATCCCTCCAAGTGCCCTGTTCTGTACACTCTCCTTGAAGGTCTGGTACTGCCCACTGTCAGAAGACGGGGTCCTGGGCTAGATGGACCATTGGTCTGACCCAGTCTGGCCGTTCTTACGTTCTTAAAAACCAGCTGAACCAACTTGGGTCACATTTTCTAAAATATTTCCTCATGAGGATGTCTGATTCTCTGCTACACTAAGGCTCCTTTACACTGTTCTAAGGCACATTTTGGGCTGCCAAGGTGGTGTAAATGCACATCCATGTGAAGGCACCTCTGTGGTGCCAGAATGTAAAGGAGTCTGGTGTAACTGAGAATCAGACCTGAGACACTTCAGTCCCAATGGAGATGGCTGATAATGGCACCTGAAAATGGGCCATTCTAAATCAATTGCCTTTTTCAGCCTCAGCTATGGTATTAGCTGCAGCCAACAATAGAATGCTGGACTCTGTCACTTTGCTGAGTGGTGACTGTGCCCCAGGCCTGTGTGATGTGTGGGCCAGTGAGAGTCAGTGGGCCACAGCTGAGAGGGAGAGAAGATGAAATACTTAGACTTGTCCTGGGGGCAGTGAAGTGACGGAAGTCTCCTGAGGGAAGGAGGAGATGTAGCTGCTCTCTGTCTGTGCCATGATCGTGAAGCCAGGTTTTAAAGAAAGTCTCCAAGCTGACAACGTCATTCTCTATGGTTTGAAGGTCAATATCCATCCCCAGGATCGCACTGTCTGCGGAAGGAGAGAATCATAGAAATTTAGGGCTGGAAGGGACCATCCCCCTGCGCTGAGGCAGGACCAAGTATACCTACACTGCCCCTGACAGATGTTTGTCAACATTATACTAGGACAGTCCCCAAGACTCTCCCAGTTGGGAAGAGGCCTCAGAACCCAGAACCATATGAACCATCTGTGCTGTGGCCACTCTGAGCAGGTGTGTTGGTGTTTCAATGGCTCATATACTTTCCTTACTCCCAGTTTGTTTGTACTTGTATTTGTTTGCCCAACAGCTGCAGCAAGAGGAGTCCATGCCTGAACACAAGGAGTGCTACCCTAGGCCATGCTGCTTATGCACATGCGTGCCTCTATACTTCTGGTTACAAGGGCCTTCACCACACCAGCCTGGGATATTTTACATGGCAAAAAAACAGTGTTCAGATCAAAGGTAAAAACACATGCAGGTGGTAAGTTCATGGGATAGAAGTGGGAGTTTTAAAGTAGACTGTATCCATTTAAAGAAAATGTAGGTGAAACGGAAGTAGTACCTAACATGGTCAAAACCCTGGCTCAGCCTCACAACTCCTAAGGAGAGTAGGTATCATTGCCCCGTTTTACAGATGGGGAAACTGAAGCAGAAAGTTGCAAAGGGTCTTATAGAGTCAATGACAGAGCTGAAATTAGAACTTAGGTCTTCCTGACTAATGCTGGGCGCAGTCCTACTATACTGCCCATTAATGGTAGTTTTGAGCCAGGCAGTATTTGTCCCATAACTGCTCAGCTGAAATCACTGTTAGCCAGTTAGCATGCAGTCTCAATCCTGCCTATTTTATAAGAAGGGATAATCTGATACTTGGATTCAGTAGAGAAATGCGCAGAATTCTGAACTCCAAGAGACAGTTCTTCAACTGTGCCTCAAACTAAATGGTCAGACTAAATACTGTGCACATTCCACTCATCTACATGGAAAATCTACAGGAACTGCAGCAGCATGTATGGCAGAGCCGGAGATCTACTTGCTTCCAGCAGGGAGCTACTTGACTCAACTCCAGCAAAGTCAGGCACCAAGGATTTCTCTGGTGGCACAACACAAGGCTGCTCTCACTGCCCTGGCTCACCATGGCAGGGTGGATAAAAATCAATGATTTTAAAAAAATAAAATAAAAAAAAATGGGATTTTTTTTTTGATAAAATGCTTTTTGAGGAAAAAACCTATCTAAAGATAGTTTTAATTAAGATACGTTATATCTCATCATGGAATAGGGATTATAAATTCTAACTCTATAGTATGAGACAATATATTCATGTAATGTTTAAGAAAGTTTTGTAAATGAGTTCCAATAGTTCATGGATTAGGGACCCAATCTTATGGGGTTCCAGGGGCTTCTGTATAGATTATTTAGGTTAATCTTTCTATCTACTCAATGGGACTCAGTGCTCAGTACTTCTGTTCTGTTTGAGCAGCATATTCCAGAAGTCTTGAGGTCTTTCTGAGTGCAGCCTTCATTGATTTGAGATCTACCATACCAGTCTCTTACTAGAAGGGAAATCCTATAATGGCAGCAGGCCGTAAAAGAGACCCAGTTTGGGAATATTTTAATGAAGTTCCTTTACCTGTGGGTAAAACAGGCATGTGTGCAAAATGTAAACAGCGCCACAAAGAAATGCAAGGCCTGGTTGCCCAAATGAAACAACATCATGAAAAGTGTTTCTTCTCAGACGGAAGCTGTGTTGAAGATGATGAAAGGAACATGTCTGAACATGCAGGATCTTCAGGTTGGTAAACTTTTTTATTTCATACTTCTTTCTTAAGGACTGCCTGTCTTCCTTCTGGATTATTCTTGAATTCTCATGTTTGAGCCAAAAATATAGTTGTTACTCTATGGTACTATCATTTTAGATGCAGTTGTGATAAAAAAGAAACAGCTGAAATAGGCAAATCTTCCTTTTACAATTTCACCTTTAAAGTAGTACTGAGTGTCAGTGAATGCAATGAGGAATACTAAATGAGCAGTATGGTGGTAATAATTAAATAACTGCATTGACTTATTTTGCTTAGGAGAATCCATCCTCAACAGGATTCTGAAGACTATCCACCTTCAAGATCACCATCATTTTCTATAGTTTCAGAGTTATCTGACAATGATAGTGTTTCAGTCACAATATGTATGTCACATAGCCACAGTATATCACCTGTAGCAAAAAGAAAAAAACCTTCCATCATCCAGAAACAACCATAGATAAGTTTGTGATAAGAACCAGCAGATTACAAAAAGAGGTAATTGATGAAAAAATTGCCCGGTTTGTTTATGCAACAAATTCTCCTTTCCCTATGATTGAGAACCCACACTTCATTAACATGGTTCAGTCATTAAGACCAGGATACAGTCCACCCAACAGAGCAGATGTCGCAGGCAAATTGCTGGATAAAGTGTATGAAAGAGAAATTGAGCAGTGTGCAAAAGGTCTAGAGGGTAAAATTGTTAACCTGAGTCTTGATGGGTGGAGCAATGTCCACAATGATCCTGTTGTATGTGCTTGTGTGACAACAGAAGAAGGGAATGTCTTCCTTACAGAAACAATTGATACATCAAGAAATGCACACACAGCAGAATACTTACAAGAAGTAGCAGTAAAAGCTATAACAAACTGGAAAAAAAATTCAAATGTCTAGTACGCAGCTTGGTCTCAGATAATGCTGCAAATGTATCCAAGATGAGAAGAAATTATTTAGAAGAGAGTCCCAAGCTAATAACATAAGGTTGCAGTGCTCATTTGATGCACCTCCTAGCCAAAGACTTCAGTGTTCCAGAAATAATTGCAACTGCAATTATAATAATTGTTGAAATTGCAAATTTGCAAAATTGCAAAATACTTCTGTAACAACCACTTTGCAGCAGCTGCTCTGAAAAGAGTGAGAGGAACCAAGCTAACTCTCCCACAAGACGTGCGATGGAACTCAGTAGTGGACTGTTTTGAGCACTATATCAAGAACTGGCCTAATCTGATGACAGTTTGTGAACAAAATTGTGAAAAAATAGATGGCACTGTCACAGCCAAAGTTCTCAACATTGGGCTTAAGAGAAATGTTGAACACATGCTGAGTACCCTGAAGCCTATTTCTGTAGCCTTGAACAAAACGCAGGGAAATAGCTGTTTTATTGCTGACGCTGTTGAAATTTGGAAGGAACTGAGTGAGATCTTAAAAAGAGAAATATGCAATGACAGAGTTAAATTACAAGCATTAAAAAAACAAATGGAACAAGCACTATCTCCAGCTCATTTTCTTGCAAATATTTTCAATACTCAGTACCAGGGTCAAACCTTAAGTGCTGAAGAAGAGGAGTTGGCTATGACATGGACATCCAGCAATCATCCCTCCATAATGCCAACTATAGTAAACTTCAGAGCTAAGGGTGAACCATTCAAGAAATATCTGTTTGCTGATGATGTTTTAAAGAAAGTCACACCAGTGAACTGGTAGAAGTCACTTAAGCACTTGGATTCAGAAACTGTTGAAGTGATAACCTCACTTTTAACAGCAGTAGCTTCTTCTGCTGGTGTAGAAAGAATATTTTCTTCCTTTGGATTAATTCATTCCAAATTGAAAAATCGTTTGGGACCTGAAAAAGCAGGAAAGCTTGTTTTTCTTTTCCAGATTATGAACAAACAGGAAAATGAAGGTGAAGATGACTGAGTTAGCTACAAAGCCAATATCTTAAGTTTCTCATGTTGACCTGGCTGACATAGTCGATTTTTAATTTTTGATTTTTAAATATTTCATTAACTATTTTTGTTAAAATTGTTTTTAACTAAAACAAACCTGATTTTAAAAAACTTGAATGTTTAACTAAATTCAAAAATTCGTATGCTTGTTTTGTTAAAATATTATGTTTGCTGTTGAAGAAAAAAATCCAGAATACATAACATTGTTGTTTTAGTTAAAGAAAACAATTTAAATGTCTGTCTGGTGGTGATCTCCTCCTAATACAGCATGGCAAGAAAATCCTCCAAATATTAATGATTAACCTGTTGAATTGGGATAGTTCACCTCCCAATGACTTCATAAATATCTGCTTCAATTACCTTTGGTAAATGAAATAACCAAACAATCATTCATTTTCTGATATAGCTGTAAGACTAATCTGAAAAGTTTTCAAAATAAATCACTTTAAAAATGTATAGTGTGTATTCTTCACAATATATATTAAGGTTATAACAACCAAGAAGAATGCACTTTTATGTAGAAATCCATGATTAAATTGAGTCTTCCTGACTAGTGATTTAAATAATTATTTAAATCAATTTGATTTAAATCAAATCCACCCTGGTTTGTGGCCAAACAGGTGATAAATCCTGCTGTGCAAAGTTACTTCACTTTTCCAGATAAAATACAAGTCAAGAGAGAAGGATTCTTAATTAGCTTTTTAGCCTAACGTTCCCTTGGCACATTGCAGAGTGGAGGAAGGTGAGAGATGTACAGAGATTTTTCTGATGTTCCCTCTAATAAATACATGAGGTGCTCAGAAACCATGGTGATTTGTGCAGTGTAAGAATTTAAAGACACACAGATGTAGCTTTCTTCTTTAGCTAGAGTATTGTCATGTGCCCTAATGCCACAAACTGCTCTTTACTAGTGATGGGAATACAAACAGTATAGATAGACATGTCAGACATCTAACAACCAATCCAAACAAATTCTGGAGAGTTTTTTCTCTCGCCTATGATACAGGCTGATTCTGCAACATTGAAGTAAATGGAGATGCTTTCTGTAGAACGGGGCTGTCCTCTGACTCAGGACTAGACAAAGCAAGTACACTCTGTGTTTGATTCATAGATTAATAGCTTTTGTGGCCAGCAGGACCATTCGATAATCTACTCTGACCTCCTGCAGAGCATAGGCCAGAAAATTCCACCAGTGGTTCCTGCATTAAGCTCAGAACCTCAGTTCAGATACAGCAGCTCTTTTAGAAAAGCAACTCATCTTGATTTAAAGACTTGAGGTGATGGTGAAT